AAAAAAAAAGAAAGAAAGAAAGAAAAAAAACAGATAAGCAAAATGAGATATGTGTACAGACAGAAACAGATCAGATGAGAAAGAAAGAAAGAAAGAAAAAAGAAAGAAAAAAACAAAAAAAAGAAACAGATAAGCAAAAAACAGATATGTGTACAGACAGAAACAGATCAGATGAGAAAAGAAAAAGAAAGAAAGAAAGAAAGAAAGAAAGAAAAGAAAAAAAAGAGATAAGCAAAATGAGATATGAGATATGTACAGACAGAAACAGATCAGATGAGAAAGAAAGAAAGAAAAGAAAGAAAGAAAGAAAAAGAAACAGATAAGCAAAAATGAGATATGTGTACAGACAGAAACAGATCAGATGAGAAAGAAAAAAGAAAAAAAAAGAAAAAAAAAACAGATAAGCAAAATGAGATATGTACAGACAGAAACAGATACAGACAAAATGAAATGTGTACAGATCAGAAACAAAGAAAGAAAGAAAGAAAGAAAGAAAAAAGAAAAAAAAGAAAGAAAGAACGAAAGAAAAAAAAAGTAACAGATAAAAGCAAAATGAGACATGTGTGAGAAAGAAAGAAAGAAAGAAAGAAAAAGAAAAGAAAAGAACAGATACAGACAGAAACAGATCAGATGAGAAAAGAAAGAAAGAAAAGAAAATCAGATGAAAAGAAAAAGAAAAGAAAGAAAAAAAAACAGATAAGCAAAATGAGATATGTGTACAGACAGAAACAGATCAGATGAGAAAGAAAGAAAAAGAAAGAAAGAAAGAAAAAAAAGTAACAGATAAGCAAAATGAGATATGTGTACAGACAGAAACAGTTCAGATGAGAAAGAAAGAAAAGAAAGAAAGAAAGAAAAAAAAGTAACAGATAAGCAAAATGAGATATGTGTACAGACAGAAACAGATCAGATGAGAAAAAAAAGAAAAGAAAGAAAGAAAAAGAAACAGATAAGCAAAATGAGACATGTGTACAGACAGAAACAGATCAGATGAGAAAGAAAGAAAGAAAGAAAGAAAGAAAGAAAATGTAACAGATAAGCAAAATGAGATATGTGTACAGACAGAAACAGATCAGATGAGAAAGAAAAAAGAAAGAAAGAAAAAAAGAAAGAAAAGAAAAAGTAAACAGATAAGCAAAATGAGACATGTGTACAGATAGAAAACAGATCAGATGAGAAAGAAAGAAAGAAAGAAAGAAAGAAAGAAAAAGTAACAGATAAGCAAAATGAGATATGTGTACAGACAGAAACAGATCAGATGAGAAAGAAAGAAAGAAAGAAAGAAAGAAAGAAAAAGAAACAGATAAGCAAAATGAGATATGTGTACAGACAGAAACAGATCAGATGAGAAAGAAAGAAAAGAAAGAAAGAAAAAAAAGGATAACAGATAAGCAAAAATGAGACATGTGTACAGACAGAAACAGATCAGATGAGAAATAAAGAAAGAAAAAAAAGAAAAGAAAAAAGAAACAGATAAGCAAAATGAGATATGTGTACAGACAGAAACAGATCAGATGAGAAAGAAAGAAAGAAAGAAAGAAAGAAAAGAAAAGAAAAAGAAACAGATAAGCAAAATGAGATATGTGTACAGACAGAAACAGATCAGATGAGAAAGAAAGAAAGAAAAGAAAGAAAAGTAACAGATAAGCAAAATGAGACATGTGTACAGACAGAAACAGATCAGATGAGAAATAAAAAATGAAAGAAAGAAAGAAAGAAAAGAAACAGATAAAGAAAAGAAACAGATAAAATGAGATATGTGTACAGACAGAAACAGATCAGATGAGAAAGAAAGAAAGAAAGAAAGAAAGAAAGAAAGAAAAGAAAGAAAAAAATAACAGATATGCAAAATGAGACATGTGTACAGACAGAAACAGATCAGATGAGAAAGAAAGAATGA